ATTTTCTTGTGAAATATCAAATCCTGAGTTCATTGGTGCTCTGCTAAAAAGCATATTTTCTTGTGAAATATTAAATCCTTAGTTCTAAATTTTGTTACATTTCCCTAGTTCAGATAAGAGTCAGTACGTAGGTGAGGAATGCATGTTTTATGTAAAATGGCTTAATGATTGTGTTGAATAAGTCAAACTGATGCTTTTTTACATGCTCAAGTAAATTTTCTTTTTTGGGTGCTCTTCTGTTTATTTTATTTTATTTTTATTTTAAACTTGCATCATCAATGTTTTTCTCATTAAAATCTGTCGGTGTATCTAGTGTCCATTTGCATTTACAAAATGATTGGAGTCAGACATGGATGAACATACTTCAATCTGTTTCTATTATCAAATCTCTGTGACCCCCTCCTAAAATATCTTGCACTTATGATTAATACTTCTTATTTAAGTTTAATATCTCTGTTTAAAATGTGACGGGCTTTATATTTTTGATTGCACTTAATTCAATTTCTTCACACTTAATTAATTCATAATACAAAGGTATACATTGACTATATCCCTCATGTTTTTTTTTTTCTTTTTCAGAAACATGTGCTTCTGAACTCTGATGAGCATGCTAATTTTCTAAAAAAGCAGAGCAAAGACCCTTCTGAATATAGGCCTGACATTGTTCATCAGGTTTGTGATAAATTCATAAATCTCATGTAAATTTTGACGCTTTCGTTGCGACTTGATCTATGGAGTTTTCTTATTTGTCTCCGCATATCGTTCCCGACTTGGGAATATAAATTTACATTTAATTAGCTTTAACATGACATTGAACTTCAATTCTTATGGTCTTCCTCAAGATTCAGAGGCAATTCATGCAGCTGGTTTTAACTTATTCTTCATGTTTTGCTAAAATGGAAATTATATTATTTAAGAGGTCGGTATTTGTAGCTTATCTTTTATTTTCTGATTTGCATGCAACGTGCAAGATGTGGGCTATCAATGCTGATCAATGATTTTGCTTTTTAAATAATTACTCATTCAATGAATGCTGATTTCAGGCACTTCTTGCCATATTGGATAGCCCCTTAACCAAGGCTGGTAGGCTGCAAGCTCTATATGTTCGTTCAACACGCCATGCACTCATCGAAGTCAAACCACATGTTCGTATTCCAAGAACTTTCCGGCGATTCTGTGGTCTTATGGGTTAGTCACAGTTGGAATATTCCATATTGTCCGAGCATGTCTGTTTGTAGCCTGAATTGTTTGTCAGGCAGTTGTTTATAGTGAAGTTGCATGTTTATAGTATTATTTACCAATATGTGGTCCCTTTTTATTTTTCAGTGCAGTTGTTAGAAAAGCAAAAAATTACTGCTGTAGGCAATCGTGAGAAGCTTCTCACTCTGATTAAGAATCCTGTAACGGATCACTTACCTGTTAACTCAAGAAAAATAGGTGATTCTTAAACCTTTTTAATATTGATTTATTGATCATATTGTTGGAATGAATGCTTAACTGCGGCTAATTCTTCGTTGTTTTTGTAGGCCTGTCATATAGTTCTTCAAAATTAGTTGAAGTGCGTGATTATGTTGCTGCTGCTAGTGACAATGTCAATCTCGTTTTTGTGGTATACTATGATGGCCCTTTTTATCTTTCCTTTCGTGCTTGCATTCTTTTCATTTATATCCAAATTTTGACAATTTTCAGGTGGGTGCTATGGCTCATGGAATCATTGATAAAGGATTTATAGATGACTTCATATCAGGTATATTGTTCTATGCTGATGGAATTTTGATTGAATATTTTGTAACCCTTTATATAAATTTATTTTTCAGTCATGAGATAGTATGATAATTATTCTATACATTTATTCATGATGTATGCTTCTAGCCATATTATGACATTATTTGAGACAAAACAAACACATACATATATAAAATCTAATAAGAGAGCAAATTTGACATTGTCCAAAGACCTTTGGATCTAACATTATTTTCTTAGATGAACTTATTTTCAATATTATAAAGCAATGATCTCCGTGTATAGTAAATTGGAGAGGACTAAAACTTTCAGATAGTTTGAATGTATATTGATATATATTATTGGACAGTGGCGGGGCCAGGAACTTCTTATAGGGGGGGCACAATTTTTCTTTTAAAGAAATTCATGATTGCGTTGGAGACATGGACCGCTATGCAAGTACAACCTTCAAACTTGGTATTGAATATTAGAAATCTATTCATAAATAGGATTTCGCAAACCATAATCAAATGGATGATTTAAATCTACTTCAAAATCTTTTGATAATTCTTTTACTATGCAACTTCTTTTCTTATTTTGCTCTTCTTCATTTTTTTTCTCATATAAAGTCATTGATAAGCTTGATTTTAAAAACTTCAGTCCATTATTCTCTAAAATGAGCAAGTTAATCTTTAAAACCGCAACAGACGAAAAATAGCATCTTGAAAAAATCAAAGAAGGGAATGGAGTGCTTAGTTGTGGGTGTGATAATAGAAATCTGAAGAGCAATTTAGGTCACATCAGTTGATATTTGTTTGATAATTGCAAACAAAACAACAACATAGAAATCTGAAGAGCATTTTAGGATATATGACTGAAACTTATAGTCCTGCAAACTACAAGCTTCATACCTAGGGTAGTCTTAAACATTACATTCATCCCTTATATGCTAGTCTCCATCTGCAAACTGAATCAACAAATAGAAGCTTTATCTATTCACATAGAATGGCTTTTCATGTATAGCACTCCATTCTAGAATGCTCATCTTTGTTTACTGGAGGTGGAATGTAAGTTCCCCAGAGGAACTTGGGCTAACATCATTCTGAAATCAACACCAATTTTAAGAAAGTTTCAAAACATTAAATTCATTTGGATTATATAAAGCTATTTGTAAAAATACTTATAATTAGTAGGAGAAGATTTATGTCTTTTAAATTATGATTATTATAAATATTAGTTTTCTTACAACTATCATATATTAGAAAGCTTAATTAGCTATTAAAAATTATTTTTCATCTTCAAAATTTGTAAAAAAAATGGCACAAATGATAAAATAATAGCAATATGAAAGTAAAGTTGCAAAAAAGATGCCCCAATTGAACCTTTAGTTGCATAGAAATTTTTTTGGAACTAGATAAGGTTGTTATATCCGATGGCGTGATGGCAATAACGGATTTAAGCTCGAAGCTTTGGGAACACGTCCCCCCACTAGATTTTCCCCCAATAGATTGCTACCTACTGCCTAATTAATCTTATATATGATATTACAAAAGTAATAATATTAGAATTTAAGTTAATTATAATTAACCTAAATATTTAATTACATTATATTAACCAAATTAAATTGTAATTATTTTATCCCTTTTTTTAAATTTGTAATCATATTATGACAATGACTATTCTATTCCTATAGTTGAAGTTTGCTATTGTTTATTTTTCTTTTTATGCAGTTGTTCCTTCGTTTGCGACCTTGCTTAGTGCTTACTTCGTGAGTTTTGAACGAGTCGTAAGGGTGTCCAAAACCTCACTCTGACTCAACCAAAAAAATTTTGGGTTTTGGTTAACCCGTTTGTCATACGAGTCAAGTTTGAGTAAAAAAAATGTGACTCGTTTATAAAATTGAGTTAGGTTCATGTTAACCCGAATACTCAAAATTAACCTGAAGTTGATCCGGGTTTGGGTCTAGATCCGCTAGCCTTCCTTGCTACAAGTCTAGTCTTGCCTTGCTTAGCCCACTCTATAATTGTTGCACCTCAGGTCCTCAACCCTAGCCCTAGCCCACCTTGCCTAAGCTGCCACGTGCCCAATCAACAATCTTTGCACCACCTTAGCCCTTACTCCTCCTTTGCCTGGCTGCCTTCACGCTTCACCTTTCATGCCCTCATGTGCCAAACCGGCTACGCGGCACAGTGACAATCGCAAATTGGCATGACTGCACGAGGCACCGCCTCAGCCTGGCCGCCTCACCTAACTCGCTAGGCCAATTAACACTCCCACATAAGGAATGGAGGGACATACAAAATTCAAAAAAGAGTTGGTTGGCGGGTTGTGCCGGGTCAACCCGGTAATCCGCACAGGTCGGATTAGAATCAACCCATTTAAACTCGGATCATTGTGAGTTTGACCCGAATGGAACCGCAAACCCGTTGAGTCACTATTCATTGTTTATAAAATTAAAATATAACTTTCACCTCTTCACCCTAGGGGTTGTTTGGTAGCCCCCATAATTTCATTTAATTAGGATTTTGTAAATCCTCTAAATTTAGATTTACGAAATCCATAAATTCCGAAAATTGTTCAATAACATTTATGATAAATCCTATGTGATCGTTTGACTATTCAATTTTGAAAAGCGGTTAAGAGATTTGACATGTATTTCTTGAATAATTAAGATAAAATATCAGAAGTTTAAATAAAATACAACAAAACTTCGATAAAAATATGACAAAAACGTAGATTTAAGATTAATTTATTAATTTTAAATAATATTTTATTTATTTAACATTAATAATTTTTAGAATTATCTAAATTTATAAGAAAGTAATAGTGAAATAATTGTAAAACCTCAAGTCCCCAAAATAAAATATTTAAATCATACATAATCTAATCAACAAATGAATTATTTATTAATTAATAACTTATTAAGTTAATTAACTCATCATTTTTATTTAGATAAATTAAATAAAAATTGTATCAGTTATTTAAATTATTATGATTTATTTTATTTTATAACTAATGTATATATATCTAGCTCTTTAAATTAAACATTCTTTGTTATAACTAATTAAAATTTTTTATCAAATTGAAAAAAAATTATAATTAACATAATCTAATATCTTTATTAATTTTTATTTAATTAAATATAACAATTTTCATTAAATAAGTTATAAATAATATTAATTTTAATGAATTAATATCTAATTAATTATTAAAATTAATTTACTAATTTTACGGTTTGCTTTATTTCTTCGTTACTGTTCTTCTTCGGCTCTTTCGTCGCTGTCGCTGTCGCTGTTCGACTTCGCTCCTTCGACGACGTTCTCTTCCTGTTGGATCGGAGGTTACGACATTTTGATCGGAAGCAACGACGGGAGCTCGCTCGCTGTGAAGGTAACTTTCTCCCTTTTGCGCGCTTCTGAGGCCAAATCCCTAAATCCGCCGAATCGAAGGATTTCGTAACGCCGGGATTTATCACGAGAAGAGGGAATTTTCCGTCAACCGCGGCTTAGATTTACCGTGAGATTTGGCTTTGCATTTTTGGCCGTTTGGTTGGATTTAGCTCAAATCGATCCAAAATCCGGCCTAAATCCTGCATCCAAACAGCCCCTTACTGTGTTTTTTTTCTGCATCCGATGCAATCGCTATCTTCAGGTTTTTCAAGTGTCTCTCCTTGCACTTTCTCCGGTTCTGTTTCCTATAATTCTTTTTTAACTTTGCGTTTAGTTCGTAAATGTTGCATGAATCTTTTTGCCCGGAGACCCCTATATGTTTCCTGTATGTTGTACTGAGAAGTGATATTCTTGGGGCTGTTTGGTTCTGGTCGAGGGACGGGTGCTTAGGCGCCAACTTTATTAAAAAAAAAAAAATCCTTGACTGGGAGCCTAGGCGTAAGCTTTTCTTCCATCATCTTTGGATTCGGTGCCTACGTGCCTAACATTGGCATCAGTATGCTTTTTGCAGGATCTATTTTGTTTGTAAAGGTGTAATTTGCTTTTGTGAAGGTTCGCTGTATTAGCTGTGGAGGCGCAACTAATTTTTTTCCCTTATGTCCTTGCATTTAGTAAGGTGCATCTGATATATGTTATAAAAAGGACTGATCATAGTTGAAAGGCAAATTTTCATGATTGAAAATTCAGTTTTGTTTTCTGAAATTCAGAGCATTCTTTTCAACATTTTTGGGAAATTTTCTAACTTTTTCAAAAATCAACACTCCCTTAGTTTGTTACTTTATAATCACAAATTTGTTCTACTCCTTGGTTGCCTCCCGTGTCAACTTGGTAAAACCGAAGGTTGAGGATGCCACATTGAACAAATTGTTAATGCGATGTGCAAGAACTTAATATAGATGACTTGCAACCTGAGATCCAATAACTTTAGCAACTCCTTGTGGTCTACGAGCAGTGAGTGTGTGTGGAACACATATCATAATCTAAAGAGGACTAAAAAGCGGAGAATTTATTCCACTGAATGGTTCATTTGATGACTCAAAATAAGTGGAATAATTGTGTCATCATCATAGAACTATTAGACAATATTAAGAGTTCAGTGTGAAGTTGGCGATTCTAGGTTTTGAATGGTGACTTAACTCAGCGCCTATATTGAATGAATGCATACTGTCGAAATAGTCTTGGAATACAAAAAGTTTCTTGAAAGCGCTTGGTGAAGCTTGCCATATTCAAACTAAAAAAGATGCATCCATGTATTGGAAGATCTTAAACTGAAGTGACAACTCTTTTGCGAAGGGAAGAGTAAGATTAATACATAGGAAAATATGAAAAAATTGTAGTGGAAGTACAAATTGAATTACCAAGAACGTAAGTTTTCCTTCCATAAATTTCATTAGAAGGAATTGTTTGTCGAGGAGTGCATTGCTTATTTATAGGAACTTATGATGAAATTTGATATTTTTGAACAAAAAAAGCATATGATGCTTGGTTCATTAGAGATTGTGATCAAGAATCGGGAATTTGGTCCAATTATAACAAATTCTTTTATGCAATAAGTTGGCAAGAAGGTCGAGTGATAGGAATGAATCTCTTGATTCAACATTTAAAGAACTGTTAGCAGGGATGATGGCCCTTACAAGCATGTCATGGTTAGGCTCATGAAACTGACATTAAGGACTGAGAGATCAAATTTTCACAACAATAATTTAAATAACAACTTATCTTCCAGCACTCAAATTGAAAAGGGTTTCAAGTGTCATGGTTTTGAAGACATCACCTTCGACTGACCCATTTGATATCCTTGGTGAAAGAATAAACTCAAGATGAAGAGTTAGACGATTTATTTGAGGCTGAGGTGATCTTTATAGATAAAGGTAATTTAGTTATTGTTTGTCTAGTGTTGAACGATAGCAAAGGAAAAGGATTGGTTACAACACAACATTTTCCATATTTGTTGCACCTTATAGGGCAAACTTTGGACATTATTCTTGATGATAGAAATTATGAGAATGTCATATTGACAAAGTTGTTGGATAAAATATCTCCAAACCCGTGAAAGTACCAAGCCTTACAAGCTATCATGGTTGAGGAAGGGGAATGAAAGAAAGATGGTGAAGAGATCCCTGATTTTCTTTTCAATTGGAATAAAATTATAAGAGTAGGGTTTGATGCAATGCCAGTCCTATGGATGTGTGCCACATCTTATGAAGGGGATTGTGGAAATACAATCAATGTATAGTCCGTCATGGCTATCATAACTCTTACTCCTTCGAGAAAGATGGCGAGAGGATCATGTTAATGAATTTGCAAAAGGAACTGACTTAAAAACCAGGAACAAACAGTGTCTTTTAAGTTGATGCTTATATGAGCCATAAAGGAGACAAAGATTGCTTATGCCATGATTATTTTGAAAGAAAATCTTGAAGATGACTTGAGGAGACCCAAACATTGCTACAACAATATCAGGATATCTTCCCACCCTAGTTACCCTTAGCTTTTCCTCCTATTCATGATGTCACCTTCTGCAGGAGTTATTGCAATGATAAGTTTGTGAGTTGATTGCTAACAAATTGGTTGGAGAAATAATGAGCCAAGGTGCAGTCGCCACTTGTTCCCATTTGATGGAATATGCACATATGCATTGATAGCTGAGTTGCTAAAAGGATCACAATCAAATATTAAAGTCTAATTCCTTGATTGTATGGCCTGCTTGACCAATTACATGGATTATCCATCTTCTTAAAAATTGATTTACGAGCAAGATATCACCAAATTCTCATGAGATAAATGACGAGTAGAAAATAATATTCAAAATAAGATATTGGCTTCACGAGTAAGCAATTATTCCTTTTGGGCTCTGCAATGGATCCATCCAAGACTTTTATTTAGCTCACAAACTAAGTCTTATAACCTTTTATTCACAAGTTCATTGTTTTTAGTTTATAGTCACAGCATGAACAAACATCCACAACACCTCCAACATAATTTGAAGTCATATGAGAAGAAAAGATGTATGCCAATTCCAATAAATCATGTACAAATAACGTTAATTTTTTAGGCATGTCATCTCTCATGTTAGTATTGAGATGGACAAGCATAAGGTTGGCCATCCTTCATTGGTCACTCCCCAAGTTCTTCACCGAAGTAAGTAGTTTTCATGATTTTGATTTCCTTTTGTTGATATTTCATTAAGCATTTTAGTTCCATAATTATGTCAATAATTGAGGTACTAAAGTGGGACATATTAAATTAGTCTCCAATTATACAAAGAAATTTTCAAATTAAAGCAACAGATTTATGTAGCCCCAATTGATGTGAAACAAATCAAGATGATGTGAAACAAATCCGGAGTTACTTAGGGAAATTAAAGATAGCGAATTAACAAAGTGTTTCCACAATAAATTTATTACTTATAACAATGATTGACCCTTAGAATTCTTAGTTTTTAACTTGCTTAGGCAAATAAGAGCGAAGTCGGTTAACCAAACAATTTAAGAAAACGCAAAGAGCAATTATAAAACTACGACGATAAACAAGAATCCGCGATTTAATAAAGAGAACTTTCACCTTTGGAGCCCATACGCTCAACTTGTCTAGGCTTTAGCGGAAGAAGAGTCTCCACATTAGAACTGAGGTCACTCCGAGGAAGAAGGAGCCTAATATCGTCGTTCTTGGATAGGTGGCCAGAGTGATGGAGGATGACGGTCGTCCAAGGATGATCCAACGTCCCTTTGATCTTTGCTTGTGATCACATCCACTAAGGTGTAATGAATACGGTCGATGTAATCTTCAATGGTATCGTCGAAGTCGAAGCCCACGTCAAAAAACGGTGATTGGAGGATGTCAACTTGATCTTGGTTGTCATACACAAATCCAAAGTTCCATTCGGGCTCCGCCATGCATCCTCGCCAAGGGTTGAATGAGTACTCGGGATGGGAGAGGGAGGAGTCACGGTTTTGGAGGAGAGAGAGGGGTGGGTGAGGTTATGAGGGGAAAAACTAAAATCTGAATTTTAGTTCAGATTTCCAAAAGTGAGGAGGGATTAATTTCAGTTTTCAAAATTTGAAATTGAAATTAACTTATGAGGAAAGGGATTAAGAAAGTAATAAAAGAGAATTAAAAGGGGAGAGAGAGAGGGGAGTGGCCGGCCAAGCTAGAGGAGAGAGGGGGGTTTCGGTTTTGATGAGGTGGGGCCCTTAAGTAGATAATTGAATTAAATATGAATTTTAATTTCAGATTTAATTATGTCTTAAGTAACTTCCCAAACTTTAAAATGAGAGGGAAACCAAATTTGAATTTCGAATTTGGCTTTAATCTCATTAATGGGCTGGATTAATGGATGAGCACCAATTAGGAAAGTGATTACTCAAGGGATTTGAAATTCAAATGCTGAGAATTCAAGAGGGGGAGGCGGCGGGATGGAGCTGTGAGGCTGGCCGGTGGAAGACAGGCCGGCGGGTGGCTGAGCGGCTGGCCGGCGGAAGGCTGTAGCCAGGGGCCGGCGGCTTTGGCCTGCTTGGAGTAGGCGGCAGCAAGAGCAAAGGGAAAAGAATTGGGAGTTTCTAGGGACTTGAGTAGCCACGGATCCACTAAACTCAATTTCCTTCAATTCGAATTTCCACCACGAATGAGGGGACGAGAATTTAGAACTCAGAAAGAGATCTATTTCCTCCGACGAACTCACTAAGAGATCGGGGAGGAGGAACTCACAAAGAGAACTCAAAGTAAAAATTTCATTTCATCAAAACTGAAATTACAATGCATGAGGCCTCATATAAATAGGCCAAAATGAAATAACAAGAAATGACACAAATGCCCTTCCGGGCTACATAAGCGACACAATGCCCATAAGGGCAAAAGCGGAAAAACATCAAAATAACATAAACTACTACATAAAATGACAAAATACAACTCATGATCGTGGCTGTTGATCTCCGGCATCTCCTGATGGTACGTGTGTCGAAATCGCTGACGATGTCCTCATCACCAATATTGGTTCTCTTTAATTTCATCTTGTTCTTTGAGGTGGACTATTATGCCTCAAATGTCGGTATTAGTGTTGCTTTAAGAAAGCTATCTTATTTTTTAGTGAAAGCTTTCAAGAAAATATTCTATATATTAGGAGTTCGATTCCATAATCCAAACAGTAAACTATTTGGAGCAACTAATTGCCATTCAATGAGTTTGTGTAGTTCTCTAAACATGAGGTGCTCATGTACTTGCATAGTTAGAACAAGCCAAAGGGGCACAATGCTACTTGGATATGCTTTTCTTATAATTTCATTATACCCTCATGTACAAATTTGGCGCTCAGAAGATGGCAAATGCGTTAAGTCAAAGACATTCATTACTCTTGATGCTCCAGACGATATGGTAGGATTTGAAGCTGTGAAGGAGCTTTATTTGGAAAAAAATTATTTTGGAGAAATTGGCAATAGGAAAAAGGAGTGTATCAAGAATACCAACTCAGTAAAGTTTATCCATGCTTGAGAGCTCGACTTTGCATACCCATGTCCTTTTTGCCAAAGGCTTTTTGGTTGATTGCTATGAGGGAGAGTTGGCAAGACACTTTGGACTAGATGAAAAAATACCATAGCGCTCAACAATAACATCAAGCCTTTATCCCACTACATGGGGTCGGCTACATGAATCCTTTTTCTTGATTGTTTCCTATTAAGAGTCAAATTATCATTTAAATCTAATAAAAAAAGATTATTTCTAATATTTTTTAACTAAGCCTTTTTAGATTTATTTGCCTCTGCTTTTGTGAACAGAGTGCTCATAATTTTTTTTTGATGGCCATTACTACCTAGAAATGTTGATTAACATATAAAAAAGTGTAGGTTCTATCGAATCGCCAAAACCCTCTAGATAGATTTGACCATATGCTCCCTTATCGGTCCCGATTCCTTGGGGATTGATGTTATCATGGAATTTATTTTTTGCCTTCCCATCACATAGTGACACACAGACTAAATTATGGTGTTAATAGACTGATTCTCCAGGATTGCTTATTTTGCACCATGCCACAAAGTGAATGATGCTACGGATATTGCTGAACTATACTTTTGAGAGATTGTGCAGTTTATGGCATTCCAAAAACTCCTGATTAAGATGTTAGATTCACTGGTCACTTTTTGAAGACCTTATTTTGAAGAATAGGAGAAAAATTGCAGTATATTTTGACCTTTCATTTGCAAACTGATGGAAAAATGGAAGTTGCGAATTGTATTTTGGAAAATTTGGCTTTGTTTTGTGGGTAAGCATATCTAACCATGGTATCGAATTCTTGCTTAAGCTTAATTGCATATAATAAATTGCCAAACCAAACCGCTTGTCGAAGGTCATTTGAGGTCATGTGTAATCATAAGCCCACAATTCTATGGAGCTCATGCCAAAATCCATTGGCACAAATAATGTTCAGTATTGATGCAGATAAAAGTGTTGGAGAGATTAAGAAGCTACACTCTTAGGTTTGTAATTGAATATAAAAATGCTACTATTAGAAATGAGCAAACAAGTTTCGAGGGAAAACAAAATTTAAGAAAGGAGAATTTGTGTTTATTCACCTAAGAAATAGGATTTTTCACCAGGGCCATAGGCTAAACTCAAACCAAGAGCTAACTAGACCTAGATTATTCAGCTCATCGACAAGAAAGCTTAGAAGATCCAATTTCTGAGAGTTCACCACGTTTTCATCATTTTAATTTCAAATATCTATCACCATATTATGACCTAGAAACAAATGTGTTTTCTCCAACTCGAGGTGATTTATATGGGTTGAGGTTTAGGTTCATAGGTAATTATTAAAAAAAAAATATATTTTGTATCAGGTGCCTGAACGTCTATTAGCAGTGCCTAGACATTGGCTTTGCTTCCCACAATTCTTGACTGGGTAGTGGGTACCTAGGCGCTTGATATTATGGCCTAAGCGCCTTTCTGCCAACCTCTTTTGCGTAGGTGATAGGTGTCGATCTGCCTTTTGTAAAATTCATGGGGTCTATTTTATTTGGAAAGTTGTAATTTATTTTTATGAAGGTTTGATTTATTTTTTATCAAGATGTGAATATTTTATTTTTCTTTATTTCCTTATATCCGATTTAGGATGGAGTTGAGGTCTTCTATTAACAAAATTAATTATAATTGAAAGATAGGTTTTGATGAATTAAATCTAAATTGCATTTTTTTAATTATGAGTATTTTTTGGTTGTAGTGGAGTTTCTAACTTGTTCAAGATTTATTCCAGTCCATTATTGTCATGAATAATCACCTCTCTTAGGGTGTACTTTTGTAATCACATATCTATTTCACTCCTTGCTATCTTCGTTGTTGCTAGATTTGACTTAAATTCTGCCAAATAGTTATTTTAAGGCATCTGTTTTGGGATTTAATGTGATTTATCATGTGGAAATCATATTTAATTATTCATTGCTTTTTTGTTTGCCTCTCTATCCATGAGTAAATACTGAAACACAAGAAAAATTTGGTTAAAACAAATATATTCTACCCAAGGAAAACTACTCCCGACTCCCCTCATTTGCACATTGTGGAGGCTCTCATGGAAAGCGTTAGCATTCTTGAACAATCAAGTTTCTTCATAGAAAACTTTTCACAGAGGTTAATGTTTACCACCTATTGCCAAACTTTACATATATCTTCAATTTCCTTTTTTTTTTTTAATTCAAATCTGATCAAAGAACCCCATAGAGGGAATGCATGACTTGTAATTCATACTTATTTTTTAAACAGTTGACTTTCTATTATCTTTTTCCTGGTACATTTCACCCACCTTAGCATTATGTAGAGTCATTTACATCCTGTAAAACTTTGAATTGCATTTTTGTTAGCTTGCTAATGTTTAAATTGGTTGCAGTTTTTATTGCTTCTATCATCTAAATGGGGTCAGATGATTTTATTAAACTCGATTCACCTAATCACTCGGACGATCAAGCTGAAGAGAAAGTTTGTCATGAATCACTGACAAAAGAAACCAGTTTATCTACTTTCAAAGAAGAGGTCGATGTTGTTAACCATTTTGATACAGAAGATGTTACTGGTGGTGGCAATATTGAGGTACATAATGTGAATGTTGAAGAGGAAGGTAGTCAGCACGTGCGCGATATGGACCTTGAAGAGGATGATTTTATGCAGAAAGAAGCAATTCTACAAGAAAATGTTCGGTTAATTGATTCTCTTAGCACATTTAAAAGGGTGGATGAATCTGAATCTATATTTCCTACAACTATTATTTCCACAAATTCTGTCAGCAACACTGCAATGTCCAAGCTGGTGGTTGATGAAAGCCGTATCCTAGCCTTACCAGTTTTTCCTATTTTTTTCCTTTAAAATATTTCTTGAATAAGTTCATTTACTTAACTTTTTCTTGAAAGGCGTAATTTCAGGTTTATAGCGCCTGACCTACAAACAGGTGGATGGAAAAAAGTAATGCATAATTTTTATATTATATCGGATTCATCTCCAATTATCCTTCTGTACTCATAGTGCGGTGGTCCAACTTGCAATAATTTTCTGTTCTTCCATAATCCAGAGTGATAGCTGTAGCAGGTTTTAAAAGAGCCCGGACAACTTGCAATGATCAACATCCATCTGTACGCGTAGTTTATAACTGCTTGACAAGGTTGGGCTGAAAAAAGCAACCGTCTCCTTGAACAATTTACATTCGTACTGCATAAGTATTTCTTAATTTTCTTGATGTGAAACCAACATGGGGAAACATGAATTGCAATTCAGAGATTAGTGAAAACTTTAACTTTGCAACATTAACAATAAAATTTAGCTTACTCAATTAGGATTCAAGAAAATTCGTGAGAGATTAAGCGGTAGGCATTGACTATACTTGCGAGTTACAAGAGTCTTGCAAAAGATAACCAAAAGATAACTAAATAACGCAAATAGCTTTCACTAAAGCCACACGTTTAAAGTTTAGACCATTCACCTTGAGGTCCGACAATCTCTCTTTGAAGTGGAGGTTAGCGGAAGAGGGTTGCAAGAAAACTTAGCGATACTACTACAACACGTGTGATGCCAAGAGGACTCGTCGCCGGGAAGGAAGTGGGAGTTGGAGAAGCGGGCGGATGACTTTCGATGATCCACGTGTAGTCGGAGAATTGGTCGTCGAAGGCGTCCACTAGTGTCGGTAAGATTCGATCCAAGTAATCTTCGACGGTATTGTCGAAGCCAAAACCACGTCAAAAAAAGGCGATCTAAGGGCGTGAATGTGGCCGTAGGTGTCGAGTTCGATTCTGTAGTCAACGGCGGGATCCGCCATGCACCATGATCTTGAAGACGAGCAATCCCCTCACTGAACCAAGAGAGAAGAGAGGGGCCGGTTTGGAGAGGAGGAAGGGGCCGGCGGTGGATCTTGAGGAGAGGAGAGGGATTAGGTTGAGAAACTGAAATTGATTTCAGTTTCAAGAGGGAAAATTTTGGAATTTTAAATTTGAAATCCCAAATTAAAGAGGGGAATTATTGCTCATTCAATGGGGAGAACCAATAGTGGGGCCGACGGCATTTATGAGGGGCTAGGTTTGGGAAAACTGAAAAAAAATTTCAGTTTTAAGTGAGAAAGGAGGGAATTATTTTGAAATTAAAGTTTGAATTTCAAAATAGGGAGTGGGAGTAATTGTGCAATTAATGGGAGACCCAATGAAGGGGGCCGGCGGCATCAAGGAGGTGGGGAGGAGTTTGGAGAATGAGGATGAGATTCCAAATTGGGATGATGACTAGGAAAGAATTTTCTCATGAATCCAAATTCATTTGAATGGAAATTGAATTCAAAATTCTAAAACTTTCCTAAAATGGAACATCCAAATTTGGAAATAATTTGATTTTGAAATTCAAATTACTAAAGGGGTTAGGGGAGAGAGGGGTGGTGGTGGGAGGGTGAGAGAAGTGGTTGGCCGGCGGGATTGTGGTGGCCGACGAGTGGGGCTCCAAGGTGATGGCAAGTGTGGAGGAGGCCGGCTTCTTCCCACTTGTTGATGTGGATGGTGGCGGTTGTGAACAAATCTGACTTTCTTCTCTTCCGAAATGTTATACCATTTGAAGTAACTGTCCATCCCTTTAATCCAATCAAGGAAAACATGGGGTTCTAACGTTCCGTCAAAAGTCGGGGCATCTATCTTAATGCTCTTAAGGAGTTGGGTATCGTTGTCCCTCAAAGGTGCTTCACGTCCTACTGGTTCTGAATGGGGTCGGTGATTGGGTCGGTAGTAGTCTCTAGGAGGTCCGTACTTAGTTCGGACATCTTCGCCATAAGGTGATTGGGGTCGAGATGGGGTATAGATGGCCGGGTGTCCTGCCCTTTCTATGTTGTCTAGTCTTTCCCCCTTGTGACGATTAAGCTCCGTTACGCTCGTTTGGGTGTCTCTAATTTGTTATGTCATAGTGCCCAACTGGCCTACAATCAAGTCTAGGGTAGCTTGCATATGTGTGGGATCCATGATTGAGTGTTAGGGGTCACTAGGGAGACTTTCTAAGCTAATGGCAGCAACTAGACACACCAAAGTAGTCACTAAAACGGGACCTACAGCAGCTGGAAGACCCGGGCAGTGAGCACAACCAGAAGACGAAGTTATCTAGGTAACTTAGGTGGATTCTAGAGGGAGGACAGCAAGCTAAACACCCTAGAACTTCACCCAAAAGGCTCTACTACGAGCAGAAATTAGTGGACAGCAAATGTCTAAGTAGCCTAGATGATTATGGATGTCAGTGTAAATGTGGCAGCACTTAAACACATGAATATGCTTAGGTATGATGAAGTAAAAGATGCAGATTTTTATGGACAGCAGCAAGAAAACAGGAAAAACAGCTATCTAAATGATAGTATGCATGCAAACGACTAAAAGGAAAGCTAAAGGAGACTCCTAGGATGCATTCTAGCACAAGCAAAGCATGCTAGCCATGCTCTGATACCAAATGATGCGAAACAATATGCAAAGGAGCTTGTTAAGAAATTTAAAAAAGCATTGATAACGAAATTACACGTAATAACTTATTGAAATGACAAGTCAATTTCCTTAAAGAATTTCAGTTTTCAACTAGCTTAGGCGAGGAAGTACATGTAGATTAGCTAAACTCCAAGATAAGCAAAGATAGTAGTAATACTAAAAGCTTTTAATCATCAATCCACAACTTAATAAAGAGAGTTTTCACCTTGGGGAAGTGTCACTCGGCTACACTAGGCTTAGCGGAAGAAAGGTTTTAGCAAACCCGACGATGCCACGAGAACGGTAGCAACCATAATAGTCTTGATCCACGGGAAGGTTATCGGTGGCGAGGACGATGGAAATGATCGACCGTCGATGCTCCAATTGTAATTTGATTGTCGGCGATCAATGACGCTTGCAAGGGTAGGAATCACTCTTTCCAAGTAATCTCCCACGGTGGCGTCGTCTTCAAATCCTACGTCAAAGAATGGTGACCGTAGGATATTCAAGCTTCCATCGGCGTTGAACACAAGACCCCACTCAAGCTCCGGATCCGCCATGCATGCTTGTGGTTTGGGGAATCCTTCAAGGGGTAGAGGTGAAATACATGGCGTTGCGAGAGAGAGAACTTTGTAAAATCTAAAAGAAGAAAGGGGAAGGAGAGACGGGACGGGATTTCCCAGAGGAAGAGGGGCGGCGGCTCAAGGAAGGGAAGATTAGGTTAGGGAGAAAAGAGAGCAAAGGAGTTTTAATCCAAAACTTGAAATTAATTTCAGGTTTTAAGTGGATTTGGAGGGAAATTCCAATTGAAATTAGTTTCAAATTTCAAAGGAATTAAAGGGGGAATTAATGGGCAATTATTGGAGGCTCCTCTATGATGGCCGGCGGCATAGAGAGGATGGGGAGGGATTTAGGGAGTTTCCAAAGATGGAGGACGGATTAGGAAAGTTTTCATGAGATCCAATTTATTTGAATTTCAAATTGGGATCATGAATAAAAACTTTCCTTAATAGGATTTCCAAATTTGGCAAGATTTTGAAGTTCAAATTTTGAATTTCAAATGGAGCCAAAATCTTCATGTCATGCTCGACCTAATTGGGAAGCTTTGTGATGATGTGAATCATCATCAAGATGGCTGGACGGTGAAGTGGATGGGCGGCGGCAAGGGGAAAAGCTGGACGGGTGGGTTGCTGTGGACGGGTGGGATGAAGTAAGGAGCTAGTATTTGATGGTTTGGGAAGAAGGCTTAGGACACAAATGTGGTGTTGAACTTGGATGGTGGTGGTGCTATGGATGTCGTCGGGTGGGGGTGAGGGAGGATGTGGAGATGATGAAAACAAAAAGAAAACCACGAGTCGAGGACTCTTCCAACGACTGGTGGGCCTTGCGATGCGCTCCCCTTGAGCTCTCTCCCTTCTCAAATTCTCATACAAGAAGAAGAAGTAGAAACAAAGTAATTTTCATTCAAAATCATCATTAGCTATTACAAGAGAAAAGACCCCTATAAATAGGTCTCACGCATACAAGAAAAGTAAAGACTAAATTGCCCTCAGGGCCCCAACATGACTCAACTAGGGTATAAAAGGAATACATAAAATAAAATGCATAATAACTAAAAATATAAACTCTGAATCGTGGCCGTCGATCTGCGATGCTTCCGGCGATACACCTGTTTGAACCTTGGATCGATGTCCTCATCATGAAGTATACTGTTTCCTCCACTTATAGCAATGTATGTTTTTGAATGTATTCATATTTGTGTGCTTTTATCTATGGTTTTATTTTCCTAATATAATTCATGTGTTTTTGTACTTCTTTGTCTTTTGCTCGTGCAACAAGCAACTGTTAATGTCTGTTGATCTTTTGCCAGAGAAAGCAAGAAAAAGCTTATGGAACTTATGCAGCAGTGGTCCCAATGGCAGACGAAACATCAGTCATCCTCTGATGTACTATATCCCCCTTTTTTATGTTTTGATATGATATTTTTACTTCTTGGTTATTTGACCTAGAAGAACTTATTTCTTTTGCAGAATTGTTCATGTTTCTAGCTGTGCGCCATATATTTATGTCAATGAATTTTATGTTCTCGGGATTTTTTTTTTAAGACAACATCTTGTTAAAGATTTGCATGCTGAAAGTTTTTTTTTATGGATGAGATTTTGTTCGAGACTTGATTCATTTAGTCAGTTCAATAGAAAACTGAAGTTTATTAGATGTTTTAACAATTGAACCAGCTGAACTCATTACAATGGCGCACATCAGATGATTTGAAATTCTAGTAGTAGGTTAAGAATGATTTGTTTTGAACTAAACACAGAGTTCTAACATTTGTACATAGAATTTCTCAGATGTTAGTTAAGTTTGTCTTCTTATGATCTCGACATGCTTCTCTGTCATATTGTTTCCTGAAAGAAGGTGATTAGCATGAGGTTTCCTTCAAAACGTCATTTAGCATGTTAGATTGAAAGGCATCAGTAGTTCGTGATCTCATTGCTCTTTTAGAAGTTTTTGGGATTACCTGTACGACTATCAAAAACTTAATCTTAAGAAGCTCTTTCCGATTATATATTTTGTTGGCACCAATATTTATTTTTTTGTGTATATCTAGTTTGCTACATCGGCATGAAGGGAAATTTTATTTCACTGGCCTTGTGATGGTATGCCTGCTCTTCCATTTTCATAATAGGTGCCTGGGGACGTAGGCTTGGAATCTGGGGAAGATACATACTTTGCAGCATTGCACGTTGGCTCAGAAAGGACTAATGCAGTGGTAGTCTAACCGTTATACTTGGAAACTTGCACTTATGTTATCAATTAATGCTTTTAACCTATGACGCTTTTAGCAAAATGAGTAGAATTGGTTGGTAAGTGCTCGATGTGAATTCATAAAAGGAGATAGAATGTCAAACCTCAAGAAAAACCAGAGACATGTACGAATCAAATATGAAATACCTTATAATTTGTAGCTCACAATAATCTGTGATTACATAAAGTAATTATGCGGAAGTATTATAAAATTTATCATTCATTCTACTTTCAAGCTCCTAATAAACCTTGAAATTTAGTTGCATAACATCTAACTTGCATCATAGACAACTTAATGAGCTTTTTATTTCACAAAAAAAACTATACATCTATCCTATAGCTGCTTCAAAACTTAATCCTCACCCAAGATCAATTTTATCTTTCCCTTACCAGAAATAACAGTAGACTAATATTTGATGAGCTTAAACACGTAGTTAGATAAATAATTATAAAATAGAATTTAAATATTAATAAAATTAAAATAATTTATTACACTAATCATGAACTAAACATGAGGAGTTAAAATACAACATAGACCAGTCTTGTGTATTACCTTTCATCCTTATAAAGTTGCTTTCTTTAAAGAATAATTAGCATAAAAAGCCGTGAGAGAATGTTATAAAAGAAAACTTTGAAATAGATGTTCAATGTTTAATCATAATAGGCACTATGCTTGTTAAGCTTATATGCAGGGGCGGAACCAGCTTCAATTTTGAGGGGGGGCAAATACAGCACAAAAATAATTAAATATTAAAAAATTAATATTATATATCTATATATTCTGAAAAGTTTTTTTTAAAAAAATTAATTAAGAAAAACAAAGAAAAAAATGTAATTAAACTATCATGAAAAGCATAGAAGAGAATATTAAAACTAAATGTGAAGAAATATATAGATATTTTAGGTCAAGTTAGGACAAAAGAGTTTTTTAGGGGGGGCAAAAGTAATTTTTTAGGAGGGGTAAATTTTTTTTTTATTATTTATTTACTCTTATAAATTTTTTTTTTTTGAGGGGGGGCAATTGCCCCCCCTAACCACAATATGGTTCCGCCAGTGCTTATATGTAATCTTTTGATAATATTTACTTATTTTATTTGTTTGACATGAAATATCTTTCTTTAGCTTTATAATATATCATGTATGTCTAGGTTCATTAGGCATCATATGGGTGAAAACTCAATCCGAGGGCTACATATTGATGAATCTTTTGTCTTCATATGGGCTCATATTTGATGCCCCACCTTTATATGTGATCATAACATATCAAATTGAGATTCTTTTTGCCTTCATATGAGCTCACCTTTGTCATCCCCACCTGTACAGGCAATCAACATATCAAATTAAGGGCCTTTTTGTCTTCATATGAGCTCATCTTTGTCATCCCACATATACAGGTGATCATAATACAACATATCAAATTGAGAATTATTTTGCCTCCATATGAACTCACATTTATCGTCCTATCTGTACAAGTAATTATAAATTTATAATCATATCATGGTTTGCCTATCCCGCATATATAACCTTTTTTAATTTCATTTCATTTTTTAGTGCTGCACATTTTAATACATATCTCATTCTTTATAAGCATTTTAATTAGCATTGTATAGAAATCTGTACTAATAACAGTAAGTTGTCTTATTTCTTAAAATATAATAGCTGCATCAAGTTTCAATACTCATAATTCTCTTAACATGTACTTTTCATCATATAGTTAATCCCACATAGTGGGATGTAGGCTTGATGTTGTTGTTGTTGTTGTTGTTTTGTACTTTTCATCATGTAAAATTAACACAATCTTATAACCTTGAGTTCTAAAACATTAATATTACACTTTTCAGTATGAAAAATTTTTAATGCGTACTTACAATTTTCATTAATGTGACATTACATGTAAACAGATTAAATTAAAATTTGCTTCCTGAATTAGGAATTTAGTTTTTTACTCAATGAATGATTGACTAAAGGTTAAACTTCCTCATTTCGGTTACCTCCAAACCATGTTTTTTTATTAGCAATCTAAAAATAGATGTATTAAAATCATATCCTAAATTTCCAATGCAAATTAAGTCAATTTAATCTAAGAATAATCTTTTTTACGTCAAAATAACTTGTCAGTCATATGGATCTTGAAGTCTACTTATTTGATTTGAATTCATGGCGTTGAAAAAATAACAACAAAATGGATTTTATTTAACCAGCTTCTCCTCCTCTTCTTCTTCCTCTCTTGTACTCCTTTTTCTGTTCGGCTTTGTTCTGATTACGGAATGGAGAATGAAGAATGGAGAACTCTCTTTATATATATATATATATATATATATATATATATATATATACATTCATGATAAAATATAGGATTTTATTAAAAAAAAGTTTCAAACATTTTTTGTGAGGCGAAAAAAATGGTGTGAGATTTTAAGAGAATTTTAACATTACATTTTAAAAAAAAATTGAATATTACATATAAAAAAGAAGAATCCAAATGATTAATAGAAAATTCATGAAATGAAGTTAAATTAGAAGTATTTGGGACTTGATTGACTCCATAACTTTCCAAAAATTTTAATGTATACATGTTTTGTACTAATGTGCTGCTTGATTATATAGAATCTTGCTGTTGCATTTAATTTTTTAAATGCTAATTTATGCAACTTGTTTAGCATTCATACATTTAATTATCTTTTCAACTGATTTGAATTTCAAATATCTTGTTCACATTAGCTGTAGAACTATATTTAACATATCTACTGTCAATTTTCTACGAATGTCTTTTTTGTAAACATGCAAATCATACAAGTGACTAATATGAGGTGTGCCAAGTGTTGAAAGTGACAAAATATTAATGTGCATTGCATGCAATACTATAAAAATCTATGATCTAATCCTAGAAGATGATCGGATAATGAAAATTGAAAACAAACTAATCACATAAGTATGTTATACTAATGTTGATGGATGATCTCTTAAAAAAAAAAAAAAAAACCAATATGGTTTAAAAGTTTGTGTTAATGAATTAGACAATTTTTATTTTGACTCGATAGATGGAGTTTTAAATTTAGATTTCTTTTAAATCATTTATCATTAACATTTCGTTGAGATAGACATAGGTTCACTTTCTACTCAAGGTTCATTTGATGATTTTGAGTAAAAAAATCAAGAACCAAAATAAAATCATTTTCAATTTTATGTTTTGAGATAACTATATTAGAAACATGATCAAGAGTTAAATCATATAATTCTTTTATTAATTAATCAATTTTAGCTAACATGATTGGATCACGTTTTCATTTAATTATATATTTGATTTGTATAAGAAGCTCAGTTTTTATTTTTATTTTTGAGTAGATTGAGCTTACATTAAAAAGTTCAGGTCATAATCAAGGTTGTATTTCGATTCTATTTGCACTTTAGATTCATTTATGACTTCAGATTCAACTTCTGTTTTTAATTGAGGTTTAGTTTTATAATTGATCTCATAATGAAATTCAATTTTAATTTTGATTGTATTTCCTTACCAATTCTAGATTTATGTTTATGAAACATTTTGTTAGATAGGTTCAGATTCAAAAGGAGATTTCTTAGCATTGTGGTTCATATAATTGTTATATGCAAACTCTATAGTAAGAAATTTTAGATCTTATATTGTGCAAGTAGGTATTGAGGCATTTTTTGTTTGTGAGGCGAGGTGTAAGCCTCAAGCGGTTTTGAGCCGTAAGCTTTAAAATAAAAAAATAGCGTTAAGTCAAAATAAATGTTAAAATTGATTTTTATATAATATCTAAATAATATGTTAAAGGATGACATATTAATTTTCTATTGAATTATGAGGTAACAAATTAACATACGCATTAAAAGAAAAAATTGCACAAGACGTAAAGTGGCAAGCAATAAATTATTTCTTCTTCATTTATTTCTGTTATTTTTCTCTTTTATAAATATTTTTTATTAACATAAATATGAGATTAATACTCACATTTTTAGAGGAGGTGGTGGTGGTATACGGGTTTCAAGTGATCCCCAATGGAGGCTATGACAGTGGTGACTATGGAGAAAACAAAGAGTCGGAGGTCAAGGCATTCCATAGGAAGTTACTGGAGCTTGGGCGTGGGGGGGGGGGGGGGGGTTAAGGGGTGCGTTATAAGCGTGATTTTGTCGAAGCTTTAGTTTAGGATTCACTTAAGTTTAAATAATACATAAGTGACTATGGGTGAGCCTCATGCCTGCGTGGTGTGGCGTGCCTCTTAGCCAAGCTGAGGTGCAAGCCTCATAAAAAATTTTTGAGGCGTAAACCTCTGTGTTTTTCACTATAATTGCGTTGAGGCGGTCCTCAACGCGAGCCTCATATTACACAATTTTAAACAATGAACAGGATTTCTATGCAAACTCGAGTAAATTGCTTGAAGTGTTAAAATATTTTTGCTTAATAGTGGTCAAATTTCATCACAAAATACAGTCAAACTTCCATCAATAGATATTGTTGTAGATGCAAGTTTAACTTGCGATTTTTCCTCTTTTGTCACTCTCACCATTGAATATGTTTCATCTTGATGCACGTCTTTGATTTCCTTTCTTGCTTTGATCTTGAATGATTTTTGCTAGGGTTCTAGCTTAGGGGCTGTTTTTTGATTTGTTGGATTTGGAAAAGGGATAAGAGGATGTTGCAAAGGATGCGCTTTGAGTATCAAATGGAAAAACTCCTAATAGTGAAAATAGTTTGTGATTCAATCAAAATGTGCAAAAAAGATAAAAAAATAAGAAGCTCTGTTATAAAAATAGGTTTATATGTAAAAATTCTAAAAATTAGGAAAGCTATATGTAAAAATTCTAAAGTTATGACATAGTATACGTTTAAATAAACATCTGCTATATATATATGAGATGTATATGTATATGTTGGGGGGCATTTGTTGACCCTTATGTCATAACCAAAGGAAACAAAGGGAGTTGAAAGCAAAGAAGAGATCCAACGTATACATCTCATACCTGTTAGATCCTCAAAATCCTGCTGAAATCACGCTGGCAGTGCCGATTCGCGTCGTTTCTCCGCAGCTCCTGCGCAAAAACCGGCCTCGATCGCAGCTCTTTCGCGTCGTTAAATACCAGGCAGATGGAGCCTTCAGTCGCTGCTTGCTCGCACGAGGCTCTCGACTCTGCTTCCACACGATCGAACTTCCGACTCTTCCTCCCTCACTCCGATACCTCTCCTCCTCCCGATCTCACTGCCCTTGTCCGACGCCGGAGCCTCCTTGCCCGACTGCTCCTCTTAGCCGCACGAAACAGTCCCGACGCCTCCATCTCCCGATCCCACTCTCTGCTCCGACCTTCCCACATCCGACCAAAGCCCCGCTACTCTCCCTGTGCCGACGCCGTGTCCGGTCCTCCCGTCCAGAGAGAGAGAGAGATAGAGAGAGAGAGAGAGAGAGAGAGAGAGATTCACCTACCCGAGATAGCCGCCTCCCTCTCCGATCGAAACCCGAAGCAACAACGGGAGTCTCGCTGTGTGAGGTAGCAATCCCTCCTCCCCTCGCCGCTTCTCGGCCAAATCCTGTGCTATAGCCCTTATTTATGTTTTTTTTATTTATTATTATTAATATTATTATTTTAATTATTAATTAATGATAATATATTAGTATAATTATATTTATTAAATAATTATCAATTAATAATGTAATTAAATTATAGTTAGTAATTAGTAATTAGTAAAATAAATTATTTATATTATAATTAATTAAATAATGATATTTGGTTATGATTAATTATTTAATCATAACTAATTATCTTTTATTTTAATTAATTATTATTAATATATAATTTTAATTCAAAATTATATTATTTTAATTATAATTAACTACTAATTATGAAAATAGTTTAATTAATATAACTTAATTTATCAATTATCGTTATCTTTTAACTAATTAATTATTAGTAATTATATTAAAAAATAATAATAATAATATAAGATAATAATCCCCCTCTCCTTCCTCGATGTTCGCGTCGGACCGGTAAGCCACCTAAGCACGCCTTTGGTGCGCGTGGTAGGAGGAACCCGGCGCGACTTCTACGACGAGGGAGAACGAGTGACCCTCGATCCACGTCGTCAACCCCGACAAACCCGCGGAGGTATGGAATTTCTAACTCAAAACGTTGTATCATGTTCCGTGACAAGGTTCGAACTACATCAAACAAATATAATTGTATCGGACCAATATATTTTTGTTCTTTAATACATTCGTTATTAGCCATCATGGCCTACAAAATATGAATTCACTAATAAAGCAGCGAAGCACTTACAGAACACCGATCCTCAGATATTGCTCGGTCCCGTGAGTTCAGATAAGGTTCAAGCTACAAATAGAAAATGACCCGACACCCCGATGATGAGCGCCGCATCGATTAGGATTATATCTCAACCGGGGGGTCCACAAATACTTTCAATTCCATTCAAATAATCCAAAGCTCCACCAAAAACTCCATACAACAATCCAAAATCCCAAAAATATTTAAAAAATGAAATAATTCACTCAACCGCGACTTAAAAGCAAATCATCCGCCCTCTCGCAACAGTTTGTCGGCGGAACATTCAATAAACTCCTAGTCTCACAAAGAAGCAAACCCTATCAAAAATATTATAGGATCCATCTCTCAACAATCTCTTGCCAGTAATGACGTGTAACGGTCCTCTAACGCCTATGATTCTCGCACCGCCAAATGCACTGCAGGTCAAAACGATTATGACCGGGGCCCTCTTGAAACCGAGTGGTTTCATCGCCAATGGGACAACAGATACGTGATGCCAGAGCCAATACGCTCCTTATGGCTGTTATTTAAATCTAGATTGTCAAAGGATAATGATTGATAGGGCAAATAACCTTCTGTAACCGCTAGGTGATTTAATTACGCCCTTAGACGACATGCCACAACCACCGTACTATTAAGGTTACCCTTGACGAAGAACCATGCTGCCCGACCGAAGGATCTATCTGTCAAGAGTTGGTCGACTACTCTCTGACTAAGTAGATACAGGGAACCACGAGGACCGGGTGAGGAACCATGGGATCTTGATCGGGTCCATCATCCATTCCCCCACCATCCGCTTTAAGTGCTAGATGGTGCAATTTCTATTTTAAATACCAAAAATCAAAACCCAATTTCCAAATCCAATTTCTACCAACATCCAAACCCATTGCTGCTACTATATGCCAGATGCACGTATTTCTATACGTATCTGATTGACGACTAGCCTTAATCGAAAGTTCTCTCTCGTGATCGAGAGGGGTAATTAACTATAGGGGCTTGCGCCTATAGGAAACCAGAACTCAGATCATAAAGTCCTCACAAAATAAGGGCGAAATATCTGGGTAGTGTCTTATCTACAAACCCATCTGCCTTCCAAAATTTACCTCGGAACTTAGTTCGTTAAAACTCCCTCGCCGAATAAGAAGAGCGAGCGGAGGCCGGGGCCGAATTTTCGGAGCCCACAATGAAATTCTCAATTGTGTGGCTTTGTGAATGAGTCAGAATGAGGTTCTCAGATTTCTTAGAGTTGGATGTGGAAAACACTTGAGGAAGGTGGACTGTGATTGACATTTACAATGTGAGGAGATGATATGAGTCAAGAAACGATTATAATATAGAGAGATTCATGGATGTTTCAGGCAGCTATAGCTTTTTTTAAAAGTGGTTATAACACTATTGTGAAGAAAATAAATTTTTTGTAGCTAATGGGAATATATACTAGAAGGTGAGATTAGTTTTTTTAACAACTGCCAATCTTTAGCAAATCCGATTCTCAAAATATGATTCTTGTCACCAAATGTTTCGAAAAGCAATAAGAAAGTAGTAGCCAAATTGATACGTGGAAGTAGTATGAAAATCAAAGTAGTGAGAAAGGTACATCAAATAGATTGTTAACCGTATTAGTTTTTTTTTTTTTAATTTTTATTGTTAACCGTATTAGGTGTTGCAGAAGGAGAGAGGATTACTATAGACTTGTGATGGATGGTTAAGGACTATAGAAATGAAAAAAAGTGTGGACAGAATTAAGAATATTTTATAAATTGAAATTTAAAAAATAATTCCATCCAAATTGAAATCTAATCGTCATAATTAATTAAAATTTAAAGCCAGAATTGTCTAAGTAGATAATGTCTACCAAATTTAAACAAATTAAACTAATAAAAGGCATACAATTTAATTTCATCAACTAGTCTAATTCTACTTAGACGTAGCCATGGTTACTAATTTAAGCATATTTGCTGCATCAAAAGGAGATCAAAGTTGTGCAAAAAATTAGTATAATAGATTTAAAATCTTGTGCAACAATCAACATGAATGAACATATAGAGTGGAATCATAAAGACAACCTCAAAGAGTTGGGACAAGGCTAATGTTGATGATGATGAGTTCTAATGAGCACAAAACTTGAAGTGCTTCTCAGACTCGATTTTCTTGTTCGTCCTTTCTATCAATTCTTATTCTAACACTTTGGTAAATCAAATTTTGGTAAAGTTTATATTTATATCATCTTCTAATTCATGCATAAGAGATCCTATCACATTTCTTTGAATGTTTTTGTAAAAAGTCGTATTGTATTAGTAAGGAACTTATTTTTGTAATCTTCTTTTTGATTTTTAGTCATTTTGGCTTGATAACCAAGGAAAAAACGAGAATATTGGCGATCCTGTTAAATTGGATGGTGATATGGTGCCTTTGTATGACCGGGGGTTTTCATTGGGCTTAACTACACTTGATGGTTCTACTAACCCTGAAAGGTAAATGCTTTTCTAATCATGAACAGGGAACCTTGCAATTATTTTCCTTCAGGTGATTATAATTCTTACAGCTTTACAGTCGAACTTTTATTTACTGAGTTATTCATGTGGATTTATGTTTTGCTTCGCCATAAAATCCAGACTTGGTTTCCAACATTTTTTTTTCATGTTTGTTTGTTTTACTGACTTATAATTTTATTAAATTTGTACTTCTTTTCTAAAAAAACAATCCATTCCTACCTTACTGGGGTTGATATTGCTGTCTTTGCTTGGCCGGAGCATTACTTGCATTGTTAATGTAATTCTTATATTTAGTCCATACTGCTCATAGGTGTTCAGATTATATTATCCATGTCAACAAGGTAGTATTGCTGGATGTGCTGACCAACAGAAATTTCTTTATTATGCAAACCTTGTTCAAATTCCTGCAGGTAGTAAGACTACATTGGAGAAGACAAAATGTTGAGTTTAACAAGTATTGTGACGCTTTTAGAATATTTTCATCCCTTTATTAAATCTCTTAACATCTCAAAGATATAGGATTGATAAATTTAGAACTTCCAATACCTAATTGAGCTTCTGGTCTTTGGGAGGGCACAACAGGTGATAAAAAGATTCAGATTTCAAGATTTGCTATATAAAATTAAATTGATTTCTGGGTTCATATCTAATTGTTTAGTCTATGATCAACATTTGCGCCAGATTGGGAATATCTAAGGGATCTTGTTTGCTGAAGTTTAGCAGTCTAGATTCTTGATGGAAATTGCATATGACTGTACTTCTTGAATCCAATCATTGTCGCCAAAGTCCGTAGGCATTATCAAATCAACAATTTGATGTCATATGAGGGAGATCATGGGCTCAGAAGCTGGTCCATCAAATTAAAATGTAGATTACAAAAGGATAAGGATGAATTTGAATTTTTAATTTTGTTTGGATAAGCTTTTTTTTAAAATTTAATTTCAGAATTAGAATAAATTATGCTGAATTTATCTTGTATTTAGTTTATTTTTTGTTGATAGGGTTTATTGTTTTTGGAGTGGATAAGAGCTCATCCTTGCTGTAATTACCTATAAATAAGCTTAATTTGCTTTAATGAATTTAATTTGAAACTTTTCCATGATCCTGCTCTTTTTCCTTTTTAATTTTCTATTTGATTGAGGTTGTTGGACCTCTTCTATAACAAAAGAAGCGTAAATCTGCCACTACTTTTTCATTCTTCCTGCTGCCGCTAAAATCTTTTGCTGCTACTGCTGCTTGCTCTGATGCCACCAACTCTCCCTGATATCTTTGTTTTGCTCTATGTTATTGTACACCGTTGCTATCATTACTGTTGAATTTCTTATGCAAACAGCCGGACCATCTATAGGGGGCGGAAGGGCTGAAATTTCGGTCCCCCTTGTGGGGTCCAGTAAACCAATTATTCCATATGTTAGGAAGAGGATTAAGAAAGGAATTAATGAAAAGAATTTGAATTCAAAAGAGGGTGGGAATTAATTAAGGAAAGAGAGATCTTTTAGGGCTAAATTGGAGGGAAGAGCAGGTGGTTAAATAGGGATTATTATTTTGTATTAGTGTTATGTTTTCTTTGAGTTTTATGCTGTAGTTTCTTCTGTGAGGGCTTCCTAGCGGCGTCTAGGTTGATTGGGAGAAACGATATACCTTTCTAATCGTAGATCGCTTGTTTCTTTTGTTTCTGTTGGAGAATTTTTGTATCCTCAAACGGATTGCATACTTTATCATCGAGTACGGCATAAGAACATGATATATCACCCCGAAGGGTAAAAATATCATTTCCTTATGGACTCAATCATAAAATTTACAATTATTTAACAGAGATTCCCCCACTCGATGTTTGGTCGAGCGGGGTTTATTTATTTCTGGGGTACAGACATCCCATAGGGGCAAGCCCCTATGGTTAATTACATCCCAAGTTTGATTTGGGAACACTTTTGATTAAACTAGTGGTTTTCTTTCTTTTGAAGTCATTTAAATGTTGGCTAAAATTGATTTTTGTTGGTTGTTTTAAAATCCATGAAAGTCTTGCTTAAAGGGTTTGACCTTTAGGAATTTCAAGGAAAAGTTAAAGAGATCAACTTAGATTTAGATTTTGGGAAAGAAAGCCAAAAGGAGTTGAAGTAGGGGCACTTGATTCTGAGATGAAACTCAGAGGTGCCCAAACTATCCTATGTTGGGCTTTACATTTTAGCAACCTAATTTTGGTTTAAGTTGACATTTTATTAGAAGATTGGGGCTTACATCCCAACAACACTTGTTGGAGGAATTGCCCGAAAGTTGAGGGCTTATAGGGTGATTTGGAATCAACCCATGCCTCGGACCCTAAGACTAAGGTGAGGACTACCGATAGGTAGTGCCTCGAACCTAGATCTAACGAGTGCAAAGAGGGACTTACAAGCTACACCTCACAAGAGGCATAGCCCGCCCGACTTCTGGATTTATTGTCCCGCCTGGAAGGGACTACCAGCTAACTCCTCCTAATCGCTTTTAAAACCATGTTTCCGGTCTTGATGCAAATGTAGAGTGGTAGGGGTCATTTTTATTTAGAAGGTAGGACTTATAGCTTGGCTTTGAGGCCAAGATGCCTAAGCATGTAGGGTATGCAAATGCTGACTCATAAAGAAAAAGACTTTTGTTATCTAGTCCTTAAGTGGAGGCATTCTACATGTGACACATTTTGGCTATGCATG